TTCCCAGCATTGTCCTCTCTGCAGAGAATAGGCCGTCTGCTCTTGACCCCTTAGATTTTAATCGGCTGTTCTAGTCCAGAAAGCTGCATGTCAGGTTCCTTGAACGCTGCTCTGTGCCTGGACGTTGCAGATAATTATTCACTATGGTGTCTTCCGGAGGCAGTTTACATAAAACACAGGTTTTACCATTAAAAAAAGGTAGCTATGTATGTATTTCTAATAGTGACTATAAGTGACGATGACGAGCCATGGACCTTCCATTGAAGGAAATACAAGACTCACAAGGCTGGAAGGGTATGATGGGATTAATAGCTCATCAACAGCTAAAGAGCTGCTAGATGCTCATAGTAGTATAAAATGTCGGTCTGTGTAATAATTGCACCTGATAATCTGATCCATTTAAATCCTAAAATCCATTTAAACCTGTACAGAGAGTTCTATGGAGGCCGCCATCACTGACCTTCTGAAAATTCTGGTTTCCTATCGGTCTCTGGCTTTAGCTTTTCTAAACCAATGACCTGGAATGTGCTTGCTGGCAATGAAGTCTGGACTTCTTTGCATACTATTTTGTGGCTAAGGAAGTATCAAAGCAGGACAGCCAGGCAAGTAGCATTTTAAGAAGTTTGGATCAGTAACGGCAGCTTCCCTGTTCCTCCCAGCGCCGGGTTACTTTAAAAACCTTTCCCCATCCACAGCAACTCCTCTCTGCGTTCCCATTGAGTACCTGTCACTACAAGATGACGATGACCTCCCAGTGCGGCATTTCCTAAGGCGCCACCTTGTCACAATCTGGATCTTCGTAGTTTCTCTCCGATATCTTGGTGTCCATATTGGTACAAAATGGTTCTCATTTAAAAATAGAATTTTAAGTTAAAATATTGGTTATAGAACACGGTTCTGTCGGCTGAATTAGTAGTCTCGCAAGTGAATTGTTCCTTTTCATGTAGCGGTTTAAAAACAAATGGAGAGTTTGGGCCCCTCGTAACGTCACACACGATCATGGGGCCCTTCCCCCATGTATGAAGGGATCTCACTGCATGTATGGGTATTTCCATTCCGTCAGAGGAACGTGGGTTTCCTTAATGACTTGTGTGGAGGTCCAGCGGAGTATGTAATGCGGACCTCCAGGTTTGTCATTCGTACCTGTGAGAATAAAACAGAACAGTGATGTTATCACATCCGGTATTGGTTGTTGGCTTTACATTGATATATTGATCACTGACGAGACAATAAGAAGCATTTCATATTTGAATACACCAACTATCACAATAATGCAGAGTCATGTGACAAGATTTGTTGACAGTGCCCGCTTGTGACGGACTCCAGTACTCAGGATGAGTATGTCCGCCTCTGGAACCACCATACAGCGCTGTGTCCAGTGTAGATAAGAGAGGACCAGTGAAATGTCTTCAAGAAAAATACAGCAAGTCCAGTTGCTTTCATTTATTTTCTACAGATACCATGACCTGCATGAATGAGAGCCTTCTACAGATATAACATGACCTGGATGAATGAGGACCTTCTACATATATACTATGACTTGGATGAATCAGTGCCTTCTACAGATATACCATGACCTGGATGATGGGGACCTTCTAGAGATATACCATGACCTGGATGATGGGGACCTTCTAGAGATATACCATGACCTGGATGATGGGAACCTTCTACAGATATACCATGACCTGGATGAATGGGGACCTTCTACAGATATACCATGACCTGGATGAATGAGAACCTTCTACAGATATACCATGACCTGGATGATGAGAACCTTCTACAGATATACCATGACCTGGATGATGGGGACCTTCTACAGATATACAATGACCTGGATGAATGAGAAACTTCTACAGATATACCATGACCTAGATGAATGGGAACCTTCTACACATATACCATGACCTGGATGAATGGGAACCTTCTACAGATATACAATGACCTGGATGAATGAGAACCTTCTACAGATATACCATGACCTGGATGAATGAGGACATTCTACAGATATGCCATGACCTGGATGAATGAGAACCTTCTACAGATATACCATGACCTGGATGAATGAGAACCTTCTACAGATATGCCATGACCTGGATGAATGAGAACCTTCTACAGATATACCATGACCTGGATGAATGAGAACCTTCTACAGATATACCATGACCTGGATGAATGAGAACCTTCTACAGATATACCATGACCTGGATGAATGAGAACCTTCTACAGATATACCATGACCTGGATGAATGAGAACCTTCTACAGATATACCATGACCTGGATGAATGAGAACCTTCTACAGATATACCATGACCTGGATAAATGAGAACCAGACGGGCGGTCGGGTCAGGTCCACCTGGAAATTCCAGGTGGATCTGATCGGAATTCCAATGCTAGTCTATGGGCAGCTGGATCGAAACGAGCATGCGTCTAGGTCAAGAAAATGAAACAAAACAAGTTCCGCTGTGGAGGACCTGATCAGCGCGGCTCAGGGGTAATCTGATGTTAATGGGAACATGTCTGTTAAACATCCGGCTCCACATAGACCAACATGTGTCCAGAAAGTTCGGACACAGATGTCACAACGGTGACCTCCATTCTCAACCGCTCCAATCAGCAGGGGATCTGCGCACAGACTCCCTGTTGATTGGAACTGGCAGCACCCACATGACAGGCCTTAGTAATTCACTGACAAGATCCTGAGTTCCTGTTTTATACGGATGGATGCTTTCTGGTTAGTTGGCTCACCTGACGCTCGGGCCCCTCCGAAGGGCTGCTGGGCCACAACAGCCCCGGTGGATTTATCGTTGATGTAGAAGTTTCCGGCAGCGTTCCTCAGAACCTCTGTAGCTTCATGTACAACATTTCTTGTGACACAAAGAAGACAAATTGACATTACCAGCAGACCATATGAAACTTTATAACATTTAGAATTCAGTTTTTACTTCTAGTTTACACTTCCATAAAGGAAATGACGGTTAGATATCAGTGGTGAGGCTTTGTCAAGAAGCATTCACAGCCAGATTATCATTCTTGACCTCCGGCCGCCTGATGTGGAGCTTATCGGCCTTTATGACTGTAATCAGGTTGTATAGTCATCTGGGAAGTGTGTATTCTGCATCATAAACTCATTTACAGGGTAATCCGCAGGAAGAGGAACGATAAGGACTCTGTATATTCAGAGTGAAACCCTCCAGACAGAGCAGCTAAACTTCAGGGAATATTTCACTACCCTGTTTCCCCAAAAATAAGACCCAGTACTGTTTTTGGGAATTGCTAAAATATAAGACCTACCCGGAAAATAAGACCTAGTTGTGACCCTTCCCAGGGCCGGTGATGGCATAAGGGGGAACTTGAAGAGCCGCGGGAGAGAATCAGCGGTGCCAACGAAGCCAGCGCTAGAGGTGGCGAGGCGGCACCGGAGGGAGCAGAGCCGCATAAGCCGATGCCTCCTCTACAGCCCCTCCTCCAGTCACAGGCGGAGTAATACCAAATGCACTCCGCCTGTGAGGAATCGATAGTGAAAGTGCGCTTCGCTCATTCTGGCCAGCGATTGGCTAGCAAATTGCTCTTGGAAAGGTACGGCGCCCCTGATTGCCCTGATCACCATCACAAATTCACATTGATAGGAGATTAAAAATGCATTTATTGTTAGTATTCGAGCCCTCAGAGCATCGCCACCCCGATCAGTGCAATGCCCAGGTTCATGTAGACCAGGGGTGGTCAAACACCAACCCTCCAGCTGTGGTGAAACTACATATCCCACGATGCATCTGACCTCTGGGAGTCATGCCTGTGGCTGTGAGAGTCTTGTAATGCCTCATGCCACAACAGCTGGAGGGCCGGAGTTTGCCCACCCCTGCTGTAGACTCTTCCCCCAGTCCCAGGTCTATACGGAGGTACGGACCTTCGGTCATGAGGCTGGTGGAAGTAATCCATGGACTACAATTGCAGTGACATCATCGCACTTGTACTCCATTGAGATCTACCAGTCCCTCTGCCATGGTGGAAGATAGGACTAGCAATCTCCAGTGGATGGATCTGTGAATGGATGATGCGGCTGCACGGCCGGCAGAATTCAAGATGCTGCAGGAAGATGAACCAACGTGATTCAGGTAAGTGTGTGTCTGTGTATATGGTTTGAGGCTGGGGAAAGGGACAGTGTTTCATGCCATACCCTAAATCAGTGTTTCTCAACCATTTTTTTGTCATGACACCCTTTAAAAGTATGCAAAATCTTGGGGAACCCAAGTCTAAGATGTCCTAGATTTTTTTAGGGGGACCCCTGCCAAAAAAAGTGGGTTTTCCCATTCAAATCAAGACCCCCCCCCTTTCACATCAGTCACCCTTTGCATGAGTAGCCTCCTTTCACATCAGAAGACCCTATTTCATATCAGAGCCCCCCCTTCACATCAGAGTTCCCCTTTGCATGAGTAGCCTCCTTTCACATCAGAAGCCCCTATTTCATATGAGAGCCCCCCTCTTTCCATATCAGAGTTCCCCTTTGACATCGGGAGCCTCACTACCACAAAATTCTGCGGCACCCCTGAGGAGGCCCACCATTGTACCTCGGCACCCTGGTTGAGAAAGGCTGCCCTCAATGTGGGTATAATATGGATACAGAGGTGGACTTGGCCTTGTATTTGGCAGATAATTGTGCTGCAAAAGTGGCCGTGAAGTACTATTAGGAATACAGTCCATGATTCCTGTACATGTCTGTGATTGTAAAAATAAATCAAAACCCTGCGTTCAGACCAGACAGGAGGAAGAGTGGTGCGGAGTCTGCAGATATTGGCAAATGTCACCTTGTACAGCTGCATAGCACAGCAGGGGAAGGGGGGGGGTTG